ATATTTTGATCTGTATCAAAATTATATTAATGATATTCTATGGCCCTCAGCTTCACCATCACTTGATCATGAATGTGTTGAACATTGATGAGATATCTTGGAGCTACTTTTTTGCTCCACCACCACCATTAAATGAGGGAAGGTCTTTAGGAAGAATGGTGTTCCTCCTTTCAGCTGAGTTCCGGAGACATGTAGATCATTTATTATCTATTGTATTTTCATTAGAATCCATAATTATTTATCTAACCTGAGTATTTCATTTTAAGCACTTAATAAATACTGTGAAAACAAAATGGTCTCCATCTATTGGAAGTAATTGGAAGACTTTTCAGTATTTTTTTTTTTTGCAGTTCTTGCCTTTGTAGAGATTTGCAAGCCTGTACGGCTGTGCTGCATGCTGAGCAGCCTGGTCTAAAAGTGACTCTTTGGAGCCATCGCTGTGGGCCATCTGACTGCCCTTCAGTGGAAAGCTAGTCTTTTATGGATGTAGTCAAAGGCTCGGCTTGTGCTTGGCAGCTTTGTGACCTCCTTCCTGTTGTGCTTGCCTTTAAACAAATAGCACTGACAGCTGAGTAATGGGGGGTTGTTTGAGTTGGAATCTAAGGAGCCAAATTACGACAAAAGAAGAAGAATTCTGCTACTGCGATCTGGATGCTTGTCAAAAGTTGTAGTTCAGATGATGGACCATGATAGTTTCCTTCCTAAAAGATTAAATGTAGCTAAAACATCCGTAATTAAAGAAGATATTGATCCAAATATGCTGCATGGCCTCTGTTCTACAATCTCTGGTTGATGTAAGAAGATCATATTTTTGAAGTTAGACAGTTTTTAAGTGCACAGTGGTTTAGTTGTTGTTTTTGTCTTCAGGAGGGTCACTCAGATCATCCCGGGGAGGTATGGCTACGGGAGAGCTCCTTATGTTGCTCCATTGCAGACGGATACAGGTCAGGGCGTTGGGACGGCTCGCCCCCACAGACAGAGACGCTCTGCTGCGGCAGATGCCCACCACGCACCCGCTAGAAGCCACAGTGGCCACAGGTCAAACAACTTGGACGCCTCCACCAACGTCCATCGCTATAGCAGACCCTACGTGCAGCCTAGGGCACAGAAGCCCAAAAATAACCAAGTCTGGGCCCCCCTCTACCAGCCTGGTTCGGCTAACCAGGCCCAGGTCCAGCAGGAAGTACAATCAGGCAGCCAGATGTATGGACCCCAGCAGCACCAAGAGAGGCCCTACGACCCCCTGCCTAGTTCCTCCTGCACAGGGGAGCATGCTCACTACAGGATCTGCAACAGTAATGTATGCAAATCTGCACCCTTTTGTCATTTTTCTTAGCACGTTGCTAGGCAAGGACATTTATTGATATATATGATTACTCATTCTGCTTATTGTTCTGATTTCCTATTGATTCTTAATGTTGTTTTGCTGATAAATCAGTAGGTGGAAAAAAGCTAAAAAGTATCTCTTTAGTTTTAGTCCTTAAACCAAATGTTAGAGCTATAAATGTTTGACCCTATTCCCAAGGTACTACTGTTTTCTGTCACTGGCCTCCAGGGTTACAGATACAAAACAAAAATGACATTGTGCTTGGCAAACTGAAGGTTGCTCATTACACATTAATGAGCCACATCGTGACATGTCCCTATATTCTAAAACTATTAATTATGAAACTAAAAGTTTTGATTTATTTTGGAGTTAAACTTTTGTTAGAATTTAAAGCTATTTAATACTTACACTAAGTGTTTTCTACTGGTACCTCCAGTAGAAAAATATTGGTTGAACTATCGGCTTAGGAAACCTTTTCAGTTAAACCCAGGCTGTACTACACAAGTGTATGGATGGGCTTTGCTTATCTGATCCGAGGTTATGGAATCCATCCTGTGCATTAAAATAAGTTCAAACAGTGTCTGGTTCTGTATATTGTCTCTGGTGTGTGATGACACAGAGATTCAAGCAAAGTAAAGCAGACCTGTCTTTGTTTAGACAAAGGAGATATAGAGAGATGTGAGGGAGCTTGAGTTTCACAGGCGAGACTTCATAAATACTGGAATCTAACTACTTTTGGCAAGAAAGCCTGAGCTACAAGAACAGTGTTAAAACAGTTAAAACAGAGAAAGTGGACTGCAGCCGTCAATCAATGACCAAGCAGTGTGACAATGAGAAATGTGAGCTTGCTGCAGTTACAGAAGGATTTACCTGTTGGACTGTGTGTTTTCATGGAAAATAAGTGTATATAAGTGTGTATGTTAATGTGTGTGTGTCTGGTCCATCCTTAGACCTGTCCTCCATCCAGCAGACACATCAGGGCTGTTCAGTGTTCTTCATACAACAACCAGCCTTTCATGGGCAGACTGTACGAGTGGGAACCTTTCAATGAGGGTAGGTTGGATGTTTGTATTTATCTATGTACACTATGTGCATATGGAAACACAAAGTACAGCTGAGGCTGATGGGAATATCATTGGTTTTGCTGATATTTGGTCATCAACCAACAGACCAACATTGCCATTCCTACAGCCGCTAAACCCCCTTCTAATGTGAGTTCGAAACCTGTAAAAATGTGTTTAAGAAGTGACTGAAAATGTGTAACCAGATGGGTCCTGCTCAGATGTCTGAATAGGTCGGGATCCTAATGCAAAAAGTACACAATCCTAACACACACATTTCAAAATTTATAAAATTTTCGCTGTCAGCTACATCTACAGCTGCCTGACCTATGACCCATATGAACGAAGGTGTGTTGTGATGTAGACACTGCACTATGTCATCTGTCTGTAGGCTCACTGATAAATGTTCATTAATAGAAACTCTCTGCCCTTATTCACCTGAAGTATCCAGGCAACAGTCAAAACACCTCCTGAGATGTAATTTCTCTGAGAACACTAATGGAAATAAGTCTCCAAATTAATATCCTGTCAAACAGACGTGTATTTTGAGATCTCGTCTTTACCCTGCAGCCTTGACTGAAGGATAATGCAGATGTAAAGATGAAATAACCTCAGGTAAATGTATGAGGTTGAGTCTGGATTATTTGACACCCATCTTGAACAGTGCTTTAACATACTCTTGTACATCTGTTTAAGAAATACCTTGCTTTTGAGCTTATAGTATATCTAATTGATAAACCACCTGAACAAAATGTAAAGAACAGGGATCAGGATCCTTTGTGGTCGCTCACTGCTGTTTTAGTGTCATCGAATGAAACACAGATTATTTTGTTGAAATCAAAGAGCTGGTTTCAAACAAAGTTTAGCATTTGATTGACTGATTTGATTGTCTGAATTATTCAGAATTTGCAATCTCCATTTATCTGCTACTTTAGGGCACTTAAACAGACATTATTTCTAAATGATTGCTCTGTTGTAATTCACTGCATGTTTAAAGCAGTGGCCAAGGCACAAAGATACAATACATATTGTTGTAATTACTGTTTTTATTAGTAACATGATGACATAATAGTGCCCTGTATTATGTGATTTCTCACTGACCTCTTATCCTTCAGGAAATTAAGTATTTGAGGACGTGTGCTTGAACATTCCTATGCTACAAAACAGTATTTACAGTAATTTACAATTCTCATCCTTTGAATGTGCATTCACCATGCTCTAATCTCTCTCTCAAATCAATTCCTTGTATTTCAAACACTTACTAAATATTGAATTAAATGTTAATATGTGAAGTTGATGGAAGTATAGACCTGTTTTCACACTTTATGTAGGATCCATCATAATGTCTTTCATTGTCTTTATGCACCTACTGTTGCTAGTCTACCATGTTTTTAATCACTGTGCACTGTTATACTAATATGTTACTAAAATGTCTGGACATTTCTTAAAGTCTCCTAAATCTCCTTTCAGTTCCTGGGGATCAGCATTGTGAACTCAACTGTAGGGCCATAGGGTTCAGGTTCTACGTGCGTCAATCAGACAGAGTGATCGATGGGACGCCATGTGGGCAAAATGACACTTCTCTCTGTGTGGCAGGAAAGTGTACGGTAGGCCACTGTATAAACACTTTTTTTATATTTTAAAAACTCAGAAAATGATTGAAGAGTGGGTTTGGTTTTCTTTATCACCAGCATCATGCTAGTTGGCATTGTTGTTGGATTCCTGTGTCTTTCATGTTTTAAGTACAATTAATAAGAGGACATGATGGATGTATAAAGATCCTGGATGCCATGAATGAGGGGGTGGTACAAATATTTTGGTTAACACTTTGTTTGGATATCCCATGCTGCAATCTTGGAATATACTTCAGTTTTAGCAATGAGACATTTTTCTATTTGAAATATCTCTACCATCTAGGTAAACCGTGACTGTACCCTAAAAACAACCCAACCAGAAGGTTTAATCCTAACCCAGACATTGTGAGGTTCACTGAAACTCAGTACACATTTAAGTGACATGTCTTAGCCACTTGGTTGTAAAAGGTGTATAAATTGTGGACAATTAATGACCAAACAAGCTATAGGCTGTGACCAGCAGAGGGCAGCACAGCACCAGAGTGAGAATTCTTTGTATATCAAATGGAGGAGTGAAGTGGAGGTCAGGGGGAAGTTTTTTTTCCCCCTTGGGCTGAAGCAGGAGATCTGGGATCTCAATGTAGTACATATTTGTACTTCTGACCCCGTATTTAATACACACCATGAAAACACACCTGTGAGCTCAGAGTTGGAGAGACAGAAGTCGCTGTGTGGGCCTGCTTATGGCTGGCAATGTATTCAGTATGCTGGATTCACTTTAACATTCTTTTGATCAGGGTTTAACTCAAAGAAATATGTTGGAGAAGGAGTTCATTACCAGTTGGTTGTGCTGACCTCGCTCTCTGTCTCCCTGTGTGTTTCCCATGCGCTGGGACAGTCTTTGCAACATTAAGATTTAATCTGCCCTCTGATCTCTCATTTTGGCCTTGATCGCATTTCCACCATTAACACACTCTAAATTGTGATCCCTCATATGGAAAGTAAATTGTGATTTATGACTCTAAATCAAGCAATTGCACAAAAAGTATTAATCTGCAAGTGTTAAATCATTTATTTTCCTGCTTTCCTGAGTTTGCTGGCTCAGTTTCTGAGGATTTAAACTCATCAGCTGTTTTTTAGGGAGAAGAGATTTTTTCTCATCACTCTCCCCACTGACATTTTCTCAGCTGGTCCAGACATTTGAACAGGAGATTCCCCCCTGCTCCAAGCCAAGAGATAATGTAAAAACATCTGGATAATTGAATTTAAATCAGAACTGCTCTCATCATTGAAACTATATATTATAGTGGGAATTGATAAAACTTTGTAGTTGGTGCTACAAGTTCTGCTCTCCCCTCCAGGGGTTAGGGGGCTTCCGGCAGATATATACCCTGACATATGGAATACACACTGTAAATTATGCTCAAAGCAAGAGATGTGATTGCAAGCACATGGATAAAAAAATACCATGACAGGTAGAGGTTTGCCTGGTAGAGGGAGTAAGCACAGATATTCATCAGCAGCCACAACAGCAGCATGGAGCAGGAAAGAACCACAGGGAAGAACGAGGAGTTGGCAGCTCCAACAGATTGTTTGAAGTGTCAGTCATCATCGGTGCCTGTTTGGATCAGCTGACGGTCAGCTGGTTTGGTGCACTCTGCTTGACCAAACATGATACCTCATAACTTGTCAAAATACTGTAATAAGTCATGGATCAAAATTTAACAAAAGTTTTAAATGTAATAAATTCAAAATAAATGCGGTGGTGTAACTTTTTGTCTAGCGCCACCATCAGGTCAAAATAACAACAACAATGATTTGCTTAATGGCCAAATACAAATTTTACATTTACATCAGCCTTAGCTGTAGGGTCTAATTAGCTAAAGGTAACAGCCTAACTAAGATGACGAATTTACCTGCTTTATATCAGCGTGTTACCATTTCATTGTGAGCATGTTAGCATTCTGGTGTTGCCATTTTGATCAAAGAACTGCTGTTGTTATATGATTAAATAGTAATGACATAATAAGGATTACTGTAATAATATTTAAGAACTCAAAATGATTCCAAAAAGGCCGTTATTTAAGTTACACCCTCTAACATACAATTGCCAGTCAGGCAGTTGTAAGTGGTCTGGGAATATTTAATATTATCACATTTTAGTCTCGTTTTGAAAGACATTATATCCCACTCTGACATGTCCTTACATCATTCAGCTGATAGTTGAAGTTAGCTTGTCAGTGGCTAATGTTTAGGCTGTAGTTTCTGTGGGTCCATGTGGAACTGTGCACTGTCTTTATGTGGCCCTGGTGGTTGCAGCTCTGGCCAGGTCCACTGTATGTGTTGAACTGTTTTATGATCTCTGGTATTGTAGCCGCATTTTGAAAATAGTGTTTAATGCATGGTGAGTCAGTAAATTTTCCAAATTCTCTGGGAAAGTCAAGCTGTATGAGCAATAGGTTTATTTTACAGTTGTTATAACAATACCGCCCTGTACAGCTCTGGTTTTTAAATGTCCAGTTTTTACTGGTCTCTTTGTCACATTGCCTACAACACCAATGTGTTTTTTTGCCTCAAAATATTTGTGTTGACTATTTTCCAGACCAGCAACAGTGACAAGGTTAAAACTAAAGTGCAATAAACTGAACACTTGTCGGGTCAAGTCCTAACAAACCAAGCTAAAACACTGCAACACTGTGGATCAGTAGGTATTTCATATGCAGGTATTGTACAAACCTGAGCACACTGTGAAGTGATATGCTCTACATACCTACTGTACCAGGTACTCTAATGCCTCTGATTCAGATTAGAGCCAAACCACACAATAATTTATTTCTAATTATTCAAAAGGAGAGTCTCTAGCAGGTCAGAGCCTGTTTTTGCATAGCACAGAGATACTAAAGTATATTTCTGGAAGCCCAAACCACATTGATGACATTGTCAAGAAGCAGCCAGCTGTCCAACTGGGAACTTTCTGGAAGAAAAAAATTATTATGGTGAAAGTTTGCTATTTGTACAAATAGGTAAGCTACTTGATTAACCTTTATTCAAATTAAACATTCAAAGCATTCCTAATTTAAACATCTACTGTTGCATAGTGATTGAAAGCACACAGAATCTGTTATAATACATTTTTTTGTTTTTACTTTGTTAGTGACTTTTGGAAAATGACAGATGAATGAATTAGAGAGAAAAGGAGCAATGTAATGAGCTGAGGTTGAACGTAAGTTATATTCACACAATATGAAAGATCACAGTTTCCTTTGTGAGTTATTTTACTTTGCACAAGTGTCTGGAGGTAATTTTAGTTTTGTCTTTCATATGCAGTCCAAATGCAGTTCTTTGCTTCATGTTGTGGCAGTGAACCGATTCTTAGATACTTAATCATGAAAATGAAAAATTAATTAAAAACATTTGGGGGAAGATTTTAGGGGGAAATGTGGCGCAATTACGCCGTGTGCTTGTTGTGGTGGCGCAATGCTGCTATCCCCTATGACACAGCCCACAGTTTGTGTGGTCCCTGATACCTTTCATGCTGCATGAATAACAACCTTTGGCCCCTGGTGCAGTTCTCCATCTCATATTTCTAAATGTGATACAGTGACACCCTCAAATTGGCCTGTTAGAGAGACTCATGTCTCAGGTTTTACAACCAAAGCTAATGAGGCAAATCGAGGTCTTTTAAGGTATCGTACTTTGGACTTCTGCAGTGCTTCAGCTTCTGTTTGATAGAGCACTGCTCTGATTTCATCCTTGTCTCACTGGCTGGATTGTTTCCCCACCTTAAAGGTCCAGTGTGTGATATTTAGGAGGCTCTATTAGCAGAAATGGAATATAACATTCATAGGTGTGTTTTCATTACTTTATAATCACCTGAAAAAGTGTAGTTTCTCCTACACACTTGGAAGGTGAGTGGTTATTCATGTGGTTGCAATCTACTGTCTCACGGCTGGATGCAACAAAATCCTTTAATTGTCTCCTTAGTGCTTGTCCTGAACTGTCCGAGGTAGGATGGAGTGGTGTGGTTACTAGCAGGTTGACTAGCCCACAAGAAAGATTTTAAGGCTCTTGTGCTTTAAAAGGTCTGAAAAGTACAGGAAAA